ATATATATATATAAGCAATTACATAGAATCACAAGAAGTAAAGTTAGAGAAATAAAATATAAATAATGTACAAAGGGAAATATATTTTAAAATTACCAAAGAAATTAAAAGGTAAAAATAAAATTAAAAAATTAAAATAATAGAAATAAAAAGTTATAAAGAAAAAAATTTAAAAAAAAATAAAAAGGAAAGAAACTAAAAAGTAACCTTGTAATTACACAGTATAATTACCATCAATTCTCACACCTCTTGAGAATTGGAGAGTGTAATTACACACCTCCAATACACCTAATTCCATGCTGACCAAGTAATTACTAACAAACATGTCAAACTGTGTAATTATACCCAAATTCATTTCCAATGAGGCTTTCCAAACATGCTCTAAGTTGTTCGCATTTGTAAAGATAGTAACGGCACTAATAAATAACGGACCATATACAATTAGTAGCAATGCTTTCCCTTATTCTCGTTCTTGTCAATGGAATTTCTTTACATGTTGAAAATCAAAATTTCACAATTATTTATTGTAGATATTTATTAAATATCTAAACTATTAGAATTGTGATTTTCTAAGACTTTATATCGGTTGGAATATATAAAATTTATTTTGGAAAAAAAAAAGTAATCCTTAAATGGAAATTGGAGGTCTTCCTGTTAAATACTTGGCTCTGTATAATTCGCAAGTGGGCAACATGTTATAAAGTATTTTTCTATCGAAATTAAATAATAACATCTTCCCATAACCTTCGTAGGGTTTCTACAATTTATTTCGTTTACCCATTACGTCAGGCGTCAACGTCCTATTACTATGGGACATTTAATACTCTTTTTTGTTGATATTTTGGTTTGGGTGATATTTTTCTTTTAGGTTTTGAATTTAATCAGTTCCTTATTAAGCTAAATCTGCTTTTAATTCTTTTTTGTTAAAAAGAAAACTAGGATTTCGTTCCATTTTAGGATTTAGTTGAAGGCATGACTATTTTATTAATATTTTCGCATCGTCTAAAGGAGAGATCTTCTAAAGTATCTACTCTCATAAGCAAAGGCGGATCCAGAATTTTATGATTACGAGTGTCGGTGTATTTATTATAAACTTACCGCTAGTCAAGAAGATTGAATTAGGGTGCGCATCTAGTCGGTTCGCGTTGTTTTGAATTAATTCAATTTACTGAGTAAGATTCTTTTGGTACATAAATAAACATGTGATTGAGTAAAGTAGGGAGATAATTTTATCAGTGGTCAATGAACTTTTGTGTTTGTTACCCAAAATTCACTTTTCTTTTTTTTGTAACGTAAAAATCATTCAACTTTGTATTCATTACACAAAAGTCACTTTTATTTCTTTTGTTACACAAAAATCATTTTACTTTGCTCTAGTTATCACAAAAGTCACATTTTTACTCGAAAAGTCTATTGTGCCCTTGATATTATATAAACCTTCATATTTATGTAATACCTTCTATATTATATACTATATAATATATTTTTAACTATGTATTTTATTTATAAATAAAATAACCTAAAATTATTTTATTTATTATTTTTATAATATATTCATATATTTAATTTTTTTTCAAGATATATTAGTCTGATGCACTGTAGTTCCAAAGGGTTCAACTGCACGAAACACAAATATATATAATTTTTTATGTGTGTGCGCGCGAAAAATCACTAAATTTTCAAACAAAATTTAGTCTAGTCTGTGATGTGTTTCACAGAAATTATACCAACATTAGCTTTGCTATTATATCATTCACAAGTCTTGAAGATAAAATGAATTTATAGAATATAGTTCAACTATTGTAGGCTAGTCTCTTTCACAATAGAGGCCTTTCTTTTCATTGTCTTTTTCTTCCCCACATAATTCATATTCCACAATAATGGTACTAACCAAAATAAGGGGCAGCAAGTGGACTAAAACAGTTCAACTAAAGTTAATAAGCTTCATAATGTTACTTCATCAAATTAATTTATTACAAGTGGAGCAAAATAAAAATGAAAGTGAATAGCTCAAAGACAAAGTACTACTATATATAGTAGCAGAAAAACTCAAAAGTTCATCAAATTCATTTTCCTAGTAACACATCAGTTCTGTTATTAATTTGCAGCCATGGGATTCTTGAAAATCCTTCTATTTTGCATTGTTTGCTCATTTCCATTGCCTAGTTTCCAGACTGATTTAGAGACTTATATAGTCCAAGTTGAACCACCAGAAACCCAAATTTCTACTCAATCATCATCATCAATGGATTTAGAGAGCTATTACCATTCTTTTTTGCCTAAAACTACAACAATTAGCTCAAGGGAAAATGAAGAGCCAAGAATGATCTATTCCTATCATAATGTGATGAAAGGCTTTGCAGCAAGATTAACTGCAGCACAAGTGAAGGAAATGGAGAAGAAACAAGGCTTTGTTTCTGCAGATCCACAGAGGATATTGTCCTTGCACACTACTCATACTCCAAGTTTTCTTGGTTTGCAACAGAACATGGGCTTGTGGAAGGATTCCAACTATGGGAAAGGCGTGATCATCGGAGTTTTGGACACTGGAATTGTTCCTGACCATCCTTCATTTAGCGACGTTGGGATGCCTCCTCCGCCTGTTAAGTGGAAAGGATTTTGTGAGTCTAATTTCACGACCAAGTGTAACAACAAACTCATTGGAGCCAGGTCTTTCCCACTTGGCAATGGTCCCATAGATGAAAATGGACATGGTACGCATACAGCAGGCACAGCTGCAGGAGCCTTTGTGAAAGGTGCTAATGTCTTTGGGAATGCCAATGGAACAGCAGTTGGTGTTGCCCCTCTTGCTCACATAGCGATATATAAGGTATGCGATTCTGATGGCAGTTGTTCTGATGTTGAAATTTTAGCTGCAATGGATGCAGCTATTGACGATGGGGTAGATATTCTATCAATATCCCTTGGTGGAACTAGTAATCCGTTCCATAATGACAAGATTGCTCTTGGGGCGTATAGTGCAACAGAAAGAGGTATTCTTGTTAGTTGTTCTGCAGGCAATAGTGGTCCATCCCAACGCACTGTAGCAAATGACGCCCCTTGGATTCTCACAGTTGGCGCTAGCACTCATGATAGAAAACTAAAGGCCACTGTTATGCTTGGAAATAAAGAAGAATTTGAAGGAGAATCCGCTTATCATCCAAACACTTCAAACTCAACATTCTTCACTCTATTTGATGTTGAAAAGATAGTACACGAGCAACCAGAAGCCCCTTTCTGCGTACCAGGGTCACTCACTGACCCTGCTATAAGAGGAAAGATAGTCGTGTGCCTGGTAGGTGGTGGCGTTCGCAGGGTTAATAAAGGACAAGTTGTAAAGGATGCTGGAGGTGTTGGCATGATTCTCATCAATAATCCGGACGATGGTGTTACTAAATCAGCTGAAGCTCATGTCCTTCCAGCATTGGATGTTTCAGATGCAGATGGAAAGAAAATTCTTGCCTACATAAACTCAACGTCGAATCCTGTTGCTGCAATCACCTTCCATGGAACTGTACTTGGAGATAAAAATGCTCCTATAGTTGCTTCATTTTCTTCTCGAGGACCAAGCGAAGCAAGTCGTGGCATCTTGAAACCTGATATTATTGGTCCTGGTGTTAATGTCCTTGCTGCTTGGCCTACCTCAGTAGATAACAACAAAAACACAAAATCAACATTCAATATCATATCTGGAACCTCAATGTCTTGCCCTCACCTTAGTGGTATAGCAGCTTTGTTGAAGAGCGCGCATCCTAATTGGTCTCCTGCTGCTATTAAGTCCGCAATCATGACAACCGCTGACACGTTAAACCTTGCCAAGAATCCAATATTAGATGAAAGGCTCATTCCTGCTGATATCTTCGCCATTGGTGCAGGACATGTTAATCCATCGAGAGCAAATGATCCAGGACTAATTTATGATACCCCATTTGAGGACTATGTACCTTATTTATGTGGTTTGAACTACACAAATCGAGAGGTAGGTAAATTGTTACAAGGCAAGGTGAATTGCTCGGAGGTGAAAAGTATCCCTGAAGCGCAACTAAATTATCCTTCATTTTCCATCAGACTTAGATCAACTCCTCAGACATATACCAGAACTGTGACCAATGTTGGTAACGCGACATCAATTTACAAAGTAGAAATAGTTTCACCAAAAGGAGTTGCAGTGAAAGTTAAACCCTCCAAGCTAAACTTCTCTGTATTAAACCAGAAGTTAACATACCAAGTGACATTTACCAAGACAACCAATAACTCAGACAGAGAAATTGGTCAGGGATTCTTGAAATGGAATTCTGATAGGCACTTAGTAAGCAGTCCAATTGCAGTTGTATTGTTAGTGGGATGAAATTGCAAGATTGGCAATCTTTTTTAGTTGTCCTTTTTTTTGTGATTCCAGGAAGCCGAGTGTCTTCCGGAAACAACCTTTCTGTCTTTTTAAAGGCAGGGTAAGGTCTGCGTATACTCTGCCTTCCCCAGACCCCACTTGTGGAATTACACTGGGTATATTATTGTTGTTGTTGATTCCATGAACAATGTACTTGTAGTAATGCTTTCAATCTAAAATGTAGAATAAGTGCAGAAGGTACTCACATTTAGGGCTGGGCATAATTTGGTAAATACCGAATTACCGTACCGAAACCGAAAATTTTGGTATTTGGTATACGGTATTTTGGTATTTGGTATGATATTTAGTTTAAGTTTTTAAAAAAATTGGTATTAGGTATGGTATTTGGTATTTTAAGATAAAATACCGAAATACCGATACCGTATCGAAATATATATTATATTACACAAAACACATATTATCAATTATAACTTAATTAAAAAAGTCTAAAATTTTACTTTCCTTTATTCTCAAAGTTCATCAATTAACTCTAAACAAGTAACAAGATATTTCTAATGATCAAATATTCTTTTATGTACAAGTTTCTCTATTTGGATCGATATTTGCTAGTTTTGGATAAAAATTTTGTCAACAAACATTTTTAGTTTTGTATTTTTGAGTACTTTAATTAAGAATATTAGATTGTATGGCTCTATGCACTAGTTAGTATTCAAACCGAATACACCGAAACCGAAAGGAGAAAAACCGAACCATACCGAATTTAATTAGGTACGGTATTGGTATAAGATTTTAAGAAACCAAATACCGAAAATACCGAACCGAAATATCTAAATACCGTACGGTACCGACTGACGAACACCCCTACTCACATTTGATTATAGTGGAATGTTGCTCTTTTCAGTACAGATTTTATGTTATTTTTTCAGTAATATTGCATTACTACAATATTTAGTAGCAATCCTTCCCCTAATTCTCGTGCTTGTGGATAGTATTTCTTTCACGAATTTTCGTCACGTGTCCTCCTTAAGAATTGATGTTTAATTTTGGCCCCCTTAAAAAAAAAAAATAGCGCAATATACTTCTCTTCTCCTTCTCCTTCTCTAAAATTGGTTTAATTACTTTGTAGCACATCAAATAATGTTACGTTGGTCCCCTTTAATTGTGGAAGTTGGACTTGGTCTTTGACATCGTTGGCATGCCCTACAGGCTACTCCCTATAATTCAGTACTTAGCTTTTGAATTTTCAACTGGGCAACATTAGAACGTTTCCGTCTACATTAAATGCAACATCTCCACAAAAATAATTGGAAGAGTCAAAAGAATTTTTTCTTTGACCATTTTTTTGCAAATAACTTTTAAATATATTGAGTTATAGTCCCTCTGTTTCAAATTAGAGAGGATACTTCCCTTTTTATCTGTTCCAAAGTAAATAACACATTTCTAAATTTGAAAATAATTCAACTTTAAACTCTTCATTTTACCCTTACTGAGAAGCATTTATAACTACACAAATGTCATGGCCCCACAAAGTTTTACCCCTTAAGCTTTTAAGACCACAAGTTTCAAAAGTCTTCTTTTCTTTTCTTAAATTTCATGTCAAGTCAAACTACCTCATCTAAATTGAAATATAAGTAGCTTTATTGACATAAATTTTAAAATTTTTAAGTTCTATGTTAGAATTCACACTGAAAATTACTAGTTACTTTAATGCTCGTCCTCCAAATTGTTTTAAAGAAAGAGAAAAAAGGAACGAAGAGGGGATAATTAATTTCCTTGGCCTATTAATATGCAAGTGTTAAATCTATATCTATATCTATATTATATAGAAAAGGAAAGATGGTTGACCAAGGGCATATATGTTATTTCATAAAAATTCCATGTTTGCATTTCTTAAATCCAAAATACACGTGGACCCCACATTCCCCTAGCCACAACTTTCCTTTAAATGCACTGTGCATGTGTTGATTAGATTGTTTGTGCAGTGCAAATCTTTTTCACATTTTAAAAAATTATTAATTTTGTTTTATTCAAATAGAAGTTCCAATAGAGAAAATAAAATTAATTTTTAAATAAAACAACAACAAAAAGAAGTATCGATATTTACAAGATTTTCATATTTACCCATACTATCTTGAAGCAATTTGAAAATAAAAATTAAATAATTTTCATTTATTCATACTATTTGAAGACGGTTTCAAACTAAATATTTTTATATTCAAAAGTAATTTTTAAAAACATAGCTTGTTAAACCTCAAAAGTTAATTAACTAACACCAACAAATAATAATTTTAATAAAATTACAATGTTGGGCCCGTATACGGGCTTTTCCTCATCTAAGGGTGTTAAACGGGCCAGGTCAGCCCGATTCCGGACCGGCCCAGACCGGTAGAACCCGGAACCGGCCCGGACCGGTAAGGGGGGGCTGGGCTGGGCTGGGTAGGGGGTTGGGGTGGGTTTGGACAGTTTAAATTTTTGAAACGGGCTACTCGGCCCGGTAAAACCCGTTAGATGAACAGTACCGTTAAACCGATTAACCGGCCCGGCTCGGACCGGCCCGGAACGTGAATATAACATGAATATACTGTGAATATACCATAAATATATTGTGAATATACTATAAATATACCATGAATATATCGTGAATATACCAATTATTGTATACTAATTAACATAATTTAAAATTATTAACATATAGTGTATATATTTAGGGTATAAAACTATAAATGCTCAAATCATAGAATATGATGGTAACGTATTATTTTTAAAATATGTTATATATGTGTTATTTTAAGATTTTAAGACAATTTGTGTTATTTTAAATTATTAGACGTATTTATGCGTAATGATTTAGTTTGTTAGATTAATTTGAAGTATTATTAATTTATTATGCATGAAAATTTAGTTTACTATTTATTTGTTAATTTACTTTTTAAATGCAAACTTTAATTTTGTAATTTTGAAATAAATATAGCACTTGCAATTTATAAGTGATAATTTTTTCCCATCTTCCTTGTATTCTTTATGTTAGTACTTTGTATTAATACTATAACTTACAATATTTATACAAAATCCAAAAAAAAAATTAAATTATACTAAACCCGGCCCGGCCCGGCCCCCTCAACCCGTAACCCTTATGGTTCAATTTTTACCCGGATGAACCCGAACCCGTTAAACCCGTTAAGATCCAACCGGTAACTGGCCCGGACCGTAACCCGTACGGGTCCAAAAAAATAGGCCCGGCCCGGCCCGGCCCACCCATCAAACACCTTTATCCTCATCTAGTATTTTTTCAGAAAAGAACATACTTTCTTTCTATATTTTGGTTTTGCTTATCGACTTCTTCTCAATCAAGTTGTACATATATTATCTTTTTTTTCTATCTCTATTTAACTATCTTGTAGCTGAAATTCACTAGCTTTACTAATCTGAGTTGGCATCGTGTAGGGTATTAAAAGGAAGCGCTCCTATCAGGAATTTTTTAATTCTCATAAATCGAACCCAAAATTTTTAGTTAAAGTGAAAAACCTCATCTATCCTAATGTAAGCTAGCATTTGGTAATATATTTTAAAATTTGGGTGAAGTTTGATTTGAAGATAAAAATCTGTTAGACATAATTTTTTCAAAACATATTTCACTTTTTTTTTTTTTTTTTGAAAAAGCATGAAATGTAATTTATACCCATAGTTCTAAGAACTATCAAAATATCCAATAATACCAAACAATCAAACATGCAAATCCTGTATATGCAGAACCTTCATCGATGACAGTCATTATCACAAACCATAGTCCTGAACATAGATAAGTTTGGCACAAAATTTCATTTTTATAATGAACTACATAATACACTATCCTAAAATCATAACCTAATATTTTAAGTCAACGGCTAATAACACAATTACTAGCCACTATAATTCATCAAATTACAATAATATTACAAGATCCATCAGTCCAAAAAAATATGATAGTAATTGATTGGCGGATTAGTTTGGTCATAATAGATGGTGGACTTTTTTAATAAATACAAAAGTTTGGTGTAATTTTTGAAATTGTTAAAAAATCTAACAGTAATATTTTGGGCCAAAAACAGGTCTAGAGCTAGTTTTGAAATTTGAAAATTTTGTTTTTGAAATCTGCCAAAACATGGATAAAATCTATAAGCAAACATGTTTTGCCAAAAAAAAATTTGGAAACAACTTGGCAAAATCTATGGCCAAACAGTATTTTAATATGTTGTATTTTATCAATAAACTTCTGATGTGCTTAATTTATGTCAAAATCCAGATTATTAATCATTAAAGTATTATTGTATGGAAAAAGAACCATGATTAAAAGAAAAAGTACTACTTAAAAAATAAGGAAAAGAAAGTGACACAACACAAGTGTGAATCAGCAACTCGAACTATAAGCATATCCAAAAACTTTAAACCAGTGAGTGCAAATTGTTGGATTTGGTCTTTACTCTTTAGCATGATTAGCATGCCCAACTTCTAATTAAATATAGGGGGAAAAACACTGTATACCCATTTATAGAAACTCTTTTTTCTATATGCCTAAATATAAAAATTACTTAGGAAATCCTTACATAATTACTGCGTATATCTCATTTACTAATATACAGAATCCTAACTATCAATATTTTAGGGGATAATATCCCTTAAATATAGCCATAATTACTGAATGTGTATGTAGAGAATGTTATTAAGATTCACATCTGTAACAAACTAAGAGTAGACGACTCTCTTTCAATAGAACTGGTCGATTATATTGAACATTAAATTGGAATTAGAAAGCAAACACTAACTAGAGTAGGGAAGATTGCAACAGAACTAAGAAGAAAGGGGATGAGAAAGACTGATACAGAATTGGAGATGGGAAGATACCAGAAATGCCTTTGCACATAATTCACAATAGCCTACTGATAGTGTTACTATGCACTTTTTAACAAATACGAAGTGCCTCAACCTGGATCCCAGAGTAACCTGTGTGAAGGCCTGACCCAATTGCTTCTTCTCGATCCAATATCAATTTTTGTCGTATCTATATTGGGCTGGACTAGATTCATAACAACATCTCTCCTAATCAAAGCCTATTCCTCTTCTCCACCATATTTTTTTGGGAAATTTTCATAAAGCACTATCTTTTAGTAGTAATTAGCCATCTATAGATACCATTTGCTATATTACGGATTATAGATACCTTTTCTGTGGTTATAAGATGTATT